CTGTGACCAATGGTGTGTCACAAGGATCGGTGCTGGGTCCATTGCTTTTCATCATTCACACAAATGATTTGGAGGAGAGCATAGGGGGTATGATTAGTAAGTTCGCAGGTGACACCAAAATTGGAGGTGAAATGGACAACAAAGAAGGTTACCTCAGTGTAAAACAGGATCTTGATCGGATGCGCCAATGATCCAAGGAGTGGCAGATGCAGTTTAATTTAGATAAATGTGAGGTGTTGCATTTTGGAAAGGCAAATCAGGGCAGGACTTGTAAACTTAATGGTAAGATCCTGGGGAGTGTTGCTGAACAGACACCTTGGAGTGCAGGTTCATAGTTCCTTGAAAGTAGAGTCGCCGGTGGATAGGATAGTGAAGGTGGTGTTTGATATGCTTGCCTTTATTGGTCAGCACATTGAGAATAACAGTTGGAATGTCATGTTGCAGATGTACAGGACATTGGTTAGGCCACTTTTGGGATACCATGTGCAATTCTGGTCTCCCTGCTATAGGAAGGATGTTGCGAAACTTGGAAGGATTCAGAAAAGATTTACAAGGACGTTGCCAGAGTTGGGGGGAGTTTGAGCTATAGGGAGAAGCTGAATAGACTGGGGCTATTTTTCCTGGAGCACTGGAGGCTGAGGGGTGACCTTATAGAGGCTCTAAAATGAGGTGCATGGATAGGGTAAATAGACAAGGTCTTTTCCACATGGTGGGGAGTCCAAAACTAGAGGGCATAGGTTTTAAGGTGAGAGGGGAAAAAAATGACCTCAGGGGCAACTTTATCACGCAGAGGGTAGTGCGTGTATGTAATGAGCTGCTAGAAGTGGTGGAGACTGGTACAATTGCAACATTTAAAAGGCATCTGGATGAGTATATGAACAGGAAGTGTTTAAGAGGGATATAGGCCATATGCTGGCAAATGGGACTAGATTTAATTAAGATATCTGGTCAGCATGGACGAGTTGGACTGAAGGGCGTGTTTCCGTGCTGTACAACTCCATGACTATGGTATTTCTGAACAACAGATTTCAAGACTCGAAAGCTTACACTGTCTATCTTACCATTCTAGACTGCAACATGATTATTTATTTACCGAGTTCAAATAAAACTGTTTATTAATTCAAAACTTCTAACAATTTAAGGAATGTTCATTTAGTCTGTTAGTTCATGAGAAATGGATCCAGATGCATTTGGTGCATTCCGGTGGCTAAAGTATAGTGTTACATTTTATATTATAATTCCCCGTTCATAGAAAGGTTACACAGAACAGGAAGCAATTCAACCTAAGCAAGATGAAAATATTGCCATTCTGGAAACTGGGAACGAAAGCACCGAAAACGTTGGAAATTATTAATGGATCGGCAACCGTTTCTTTTCACAAAGAAACGTTTTTTCAGGTTTGTGTCTTTCCAAGTTCGGATGAAAGGTCACACACCAGAAATAAGTTTCTCTCTCCAAAGGTGAATATTTCCAGCATTTTCTGCAGCTTTGCTTTCATCTCCCAGGGGATATTCCAGCTTGACTCACTTCTCCATCTGTTCCCCATACTTACGTAATGTTCTCCCCTTCAAATGTTTATCTAATCCCCTGTTAAAATTGCATCCATCTCCACCACCCTCTCAGGCAATGCCCTCCACATTATAGACAGATACTACAAAAGTTTTTCTCCTCATCGCCTTTGATTATTTGTCTAATCACTTAAACATGAATTTCTATTTGACTCTTGCATCAATATAAATGGTTTCTCTGTCCATACCTCCCACGATTTTGAGCAACTCTATAAAGTCTCTTAATTGCCGAGGGAGTATGAACTGCTAGGGGTAAAATGAAAAGCATAATATCAAAAGGCAATAATCTTAGAATACTATTCAAGATATGAGAAAAAGGCTAAATAAAATGAGTGTGTTAAATATGTGGTTGAAAGATTGGTATGAGAGAAATAGATAACAAATCATTGGGGTCTGGCACCAGTATTGATTGAGGCAATTTTCATCTAAACTATGCTGGGATTAGTGTTCTGTTAAGTGATATATTTGGGTGGTAGAGTGAACATTAAACCAATAGTGGAAGCAAGCGATCATGTTCAGGAAGATGTAGTACATTGAACAGATAAGACCAGGCAAAAGTGAAGAGTGCCAGTAAGGGGAATGACAATCAGAGCATGGCAGAAAGGCATAAAGAATGCAAACCCAAGAGCGAACCAGCAGATAAAGCCCAAGGTTACAAAAAAAAGTAAATAGAGAGAACTAAAGGCTCCATATCTGAATGCATATAGCATTCACGTATAATATCGTAGTGCACTATCGATGGAATATGCAAGAAGAAATAATGGGGTATATAAAAAAAAACTGTGGATACCGAGTATCTGAAACAAAACAAATTGCTGGAGAAACTCAGCAGGTCTGGCTGGATCTGGAGGGAAACAGAGTTAACGTTTTGAGTCCAATGACCATTCTTCAGAAATAGTGAAAGCTTGTGAGATGGATATGGAGATATTCATAGGTGATTTTGATCTGCATATATATTGGACAAATCATATTGACAAGAGTTGTCTGCTTGATATGTTCGTAAGAATGTTTTCAGGTAAATTGCTTATATTCTAGAGCAGACGTTACCAAAACTGGTAATATACAAGACGGGATTACAGCAATTAATAACAGTGAAGGTGCACCTTGATAGTAGTGATTATAATATGATCAAATATTATGTTCAGCTTGAGGGATAGAAGATCAGGGCTGCAACTTAAGACTGAGGTAAGGAGGAATCTTTTTCTTTCAGAGCGTTGAATGTCTTTGGAACTCCTTGCAGAGTCTTTGTGTATATTTCCCCAGAGTGCAGTGAAGGCCGGGTCATTGAATACACAAAGGCAGAGGAGATTGACTTTTGACTATTTTTAACAAAGGAGTAAAATGTTTTTCAGTTAGCCTGGAAGTGTGTAGTTGAGGTCACAGAAGGATAATCACATTCTTAACGAATGGTAGAGCTATAAGACCATATGATGTAGAAGCAGAAGCAGAATCTCATCAAGTCTGCTCTGCCATTCATTGAGATCTTTGCTGATCTGATAATCCTCGACTCCATATTCCTGACTTATTCCCATAACTTTTAATGATGAGAAACTTGCCTATGCCAATTTTGAATATACTCAATAATCCAGGTCTTTGCTATACAATATTCCAGATAGACTTTTTCTTCTCTAAGGAAAAGCATTCACATCTGTCTTAAATGGATGACCTCCTTACTCAGTGATTATGCCCTCTGGTCACAGACTCTTTCAAAAGAGGAAACAACCCCATTTTTGAAGAAGGGTCCTGACCCATAACATCAACTTTCCTGCTTCTCTGATACCCCCTGGCCTGCTCTGTTCCTCCAGCTCCACACAGTGTTAACTCTCCACATCTATCACAATAAGTCCCCTAAGAATCTCAAATGTTTCAATAAGACCTCCTAATTCTTCTAACCTTCAATAAGTATAAACTCAACCTACTGAACCGCTCTCCATTTCCAGGATCAACATTGTGAATCTTCTCTGGACTACCTCCAATGTTGGTATATTTTTCCTTAGTTAACACGACCAAAACTCTGTGGCTGAGGGCCACCTCATGTCATAGAGTTTTAGTAGGATTTAGGACTATGAGACATTGAAGCAAACATAGGCCATTCAGCGCATCAAATCTGCTCCACCATTCAATTAAACCATGGCAATGTGATAAACCTCAACTCCACTCAGCTGCATATTCCCCATAACCCTTAATTGCCTCACTGATTAAAAATGTCCATCTCAGCCTTCAATATGACCCAACATCAACAGGCTTATGTGATAAAGGATTCCACAGACTTGCAGCCCTCAAGAAATTCCTCCCCATCATGTAAGACATGAAAGACTCTTTATTCTCAGATTATGCCCTCTGGTCCTAGACTGTTCCACAAAGAGAAACAATCTTTCCATATCTACCCTGCCTGTCAAGTCCTTGAAGAATCTTATACATTTCAATAAGGTACATATTTTTATATTAAATTCCCTTTGAAATAAAGCCCAACAGTCTACTTGCTTTCTCTATTACCCACTGCACTTGAGATTAGCTTTTTGGGGATTCATGCATGAGAATACTAAATCCATCCGCAGCCATTCTCAATTTAAATATTATTCAATTCCTTAATTGACACTGCCAAGGTGCACGACTTCACATTTTTCCACATTATATTCCATGTCAAGTTTTTGCCCACTCACTCAACTTGTCAATATGCTTGCATAAAAAACTGTTACCCTCACTACTTACCCTCTCACCTGTTTGTATTACCTGCAAACTCGGCAGTGGTGCATTCATTGCCATCATTTTATTTATGGTAAATAACACTGGACCTAGCACTATCCCTGAAGTTCAGAGACAACACAGTGTGGAGCTGGAGGAACACAGCACGCCAGGCAGCATTAGAGGAGCAGGAAAGTTGACGTTTCGGGTCGGCGCTTCCTGTGTTCCTCTAACTCCACACTGCGTCCTCTCAACAATCTGCAGGTCGTCCATCATAAACAAGCATTCATTTCAGTCAACAAGGTGCAGAGCTGGATGAACACAGCAGGCCAAGCAGCATCATAGGAGCAGAAAGGCTGACGTTTCGGGCCTAGACCCTTCATCAGAAATTTCAATACCGCGCTCCCTCCATTCTCTCTGGCCAGATCACCGAATTTGGCTGGATCACCGAAACGAAGTCGGGTCACGGTTAGACAAGTAGCTCTGAGTCGCCCACGTCTCGAGGAAAAGGGAATTAATTAAACTTTTCTGGCCATTTTCCCTACTTAGGTCCAATTTTATTGTCGTACGAAAGCCAGCAGACCCAATACTAGCTGAGATTTGGGTCTAAACAAATGGCTTCCCCCTTTCACTGGCCGTTTCCAAGTCCCCACCTGCCAGCCAGCCAGCCAGCCAGCCCGCCCGTCCGTCCGTCCGTCCGTCCGTCCTCGTCGAGCCCCGATTCCAGAAACAAATCCGTTTACTCACCCACACGACCGTGCCTCTCGCAACAACCATTTCAAACCGAAAAAAATCGTTAGGAATTTTCGAATCCAAGGCATCGGCACCCGATTGGACGTTGGCTCTTCGGCCTGCCGAATCAGCATGTGTAACGTCAAGAATGGAACACTGCGCGTGTCCGGATGGCGCGCCTTTCCAGCGGTAAGATACTTGCGCACGCGCAGAGTCGCTCATATGACTAGAGGAGTTGTTAGTGTGTGTTGAGAGAAAATCTTCATGTACTATCGTAAAATAGCACTTGTAGTCTTTTTAACGGTTTGGTTCTGGGCCATGGATTTATAAATTTGGGTTTAGAGTACAGAAACAGGGAAATTACGCAAAAAAGGATTTTGCGTTTCTGGGGAGGCCTAGTGTCCCATATAACAAGGTGTAGAGCTGGATGAACACAGCAGGCCAAGCAGCATCAGAGGAGCAGGAAAGCTGACGTTTCGGGTCTAGACCCTTCTTCAGAAAAAAAGTTTCTCAGGTTCTCCAGCATCGGCAGTTCCTACTATCTCTAGGCCTAGTGTCCCATTCTGATAAAACATTTTTTGGGACAGTGAGTAAAATTTGTGGAGCAGATGTATCAGAATGAAACCAGAAGGAAGGGACTTTAGTTCTTGTGGAGAGACTGACGAAGTTGTGATTATTCACGTTGCGCAGTGGGATACTTAGTGGATGTGTTCAAATATCTTAAAGAAAGAGAAAAGGTATGTTTTAAAGCAGCAGGTTATATAACTTGGAATACACTTTGTAAGGGTGGTGATAGATTCAGTAGTAATGTTCAAAAACAAAATATATGCTTGGAAATTGCGTGTGTTGGGGGTGGAGAAGAGGCGCTGTTGGGGGCAAGATTGAAAAGAGCATCTGAGGAATTAATGAAAAGAGTAGAGGATTGGGACTACAGTATTTGGTTGAGGAGCGGAGGCTTGGGGACCGCTTTGTGGAACACCTACGCGCGGTTCGTGACAAACGACTGCACCTCCCAGTCGCGAACCATTTCAACTTCCCCTCCCACTCCTTGGACGACATGCCCATCCTGGGCCTCCTACAGTGCCACAACGATGCCACCCGAAGGTTGCAGGAACAGCATCTCATTTTTCGCTTGGGAACCCTGCAGCCCAATGCTATCAATGTGGACTTCAAAACCTCCCCTCCCCTGACCACATTCCCAAAACCAACCCAGCTTGTCCCCGCCTCCCTAACCTGTCCTTCCTTCACCTATCCTCTCCTCCCACGTCAAGCCATACCCCAATCTCCTACCTACCTGCCTCCTTGACCTGTCTGTCCTCCCTGGACTGACCTATCCCCTCCCTAAATCCCCACCTACACTCACCTTTACTGGCTCCAACCCCGCCTCTTTGACCTGTCTGTCTCTTCTCCACCTATCTTCTCCTTTATCCATCTTCTATCCGCCTCCCCCTCTCTCCCTATTTATTTCAGAATCCCCTCCCCCTCCCCCATTTCTGAAGAAGGGTCTGGACCCGAAACATCAGCTTTTCTGCTCCTCCGATCCTGCTTAGCCTGCTTTGTTCATCCAGCTCTACACGTTGTTATATCAGTATTTGGTTGAGTCTTTCAGAGCTGGCTCAGATCTAGTTGTTCAAATGGAGGTTTGATTCAAAGTCTTTTTAAGATTATGTGAAATTTTCCTTTTAAAATAGATACCATTATTTTAGTTTCATGAATGCTTCTTAAAGTTTATAACTTGCAAAATTATTGAAAGTGATTCTTCATTACCTCTAGATTTGACTATTGCAACACGCTTCTGGCTCGTCTCCAACATTACACCATCAATCTGAGGATATCAAAATTCTGTTGTCCATGTCTCGTCTTGAAGCAAGTCCCGTTACTTTATTGTTGGGGGAAAATATAGGGTATGGCACGAGTTAACCCCACACCTATTTGGGGAGAATTAATAAAACCTTAAGATGAGGTAAGCAACTACATTCGAAAGAAGTAGTGAATTTAGTTAGCCTGATGAGGTAAGATTCATTGAAATAAAAACAAAATGAGTTATACAAAATAATTGTCAGGTTAAAAATAATTAAAACACACAAGCAAGAGCAAAATGCTGCTGACATAGGAGATTGCCAGACATGGTTATGGGCCAAGGGAGTAGTACAGAAGATGATGGGAGTAGATTAAGACCAGAAACTGCCACTTTTGATGTATGGGAAACCAGTTATTTTTCTGAACTACACTGTTTTGGATTTCAAGTAATGTACTATTTCTGTGACTTAAAATGTTTTAAAAAAACAGATGTTTTTAGCTGATTGACAGCATACTACCTCAGAATCCTCTCCAGGATACGTTCTCTCAATGTTGGCTTAATAAACAATCGTTAAACCTGTCCCTGAAACTCCTAAGATTATTTTGTAAAATAATCTACTCCAGTACTTATTTCTGACTTTGCTGATCTACACGATCATCTTTTAAATAACATGATAATATTTAAATGCTTATCCTTATTATCAAAGGCCTCTCTTCTGCCTACCTCTGTCATTTCCATCAGCTCTCCGGGCCATGTGATATCAAATACCTCTTACTTTGGTCATTTGTGTATCCTCAGTTGCTCTGGAATTCCTGTCAACATCTCTTTAACACCTTAAAATTTACTCATTGACCAAACTCTTAATCGTCTTGACCTATTATCTAATTAAGTGGTGCAGGTCATACTTTATGATGCTGCTATGAAACACCTTGGTATTTCATTACATTAATGGCAATATATTAATATGAGTTGTGGAAATCATAGGCATCAGATTTTTCTTTCATGTAGCCTGTAAAAGATATATTAGAAGTTGAATATTGTCTTATTGTGAAATAAACAAGTTTGTGGATATTGTATATTTAGAAGTAGCATTGTATGTATATTCATTATGGTGGAAATGATTCATGAGTTGGTGTTGTGTGCACTTGTCAATACTTAAAATTATTTATGTTATATGGCATCTTTCACTATCTCATGGTGTCCCAAAGAACTGCACTTTTGATACAGCATCGGAACAATTGCAAATGTGGTAAACAGTTCACAGCAAGGTCAAAAAGAGCAGTGAAATCAATAATCAAGTTATTATAGTGGTATTAGTTGAGAGATAAATATTTGTCAGAGAGAACGTGTGTCCTGTCATAGTTTCGTGAGATCTCTTTCATGAACTTATTCATGTAGACTATTTAAGATCTCACCTAAAAGCCAAGTGCTCTAACCATGTGAGACAACAAGGTGCAGAGCTGGATGAACACAGCAGGCCAAGCAGCATCGTAGGAGCAGGAAGGCTGACGTTTCGGGCCTAGACCCTTCATCAGAAATGGGGGGAGGGGAAGCGGGTTCTGAAATAAATAGGAAGAGAGGGGGAGGCGGATAGAAGATGGATAGAGGAGAAGATAGGTGGAGAGGAAACAGACAGGTCAAAGAGGCAGGGATGGAGCCAGTAAAGGTGAGCGTAGGTGGGGAGGTAGGGAGGAGATAGGTCAGTCCAGGGAGGATGGACAGGTCAAGGGGGCGGGATGAGGTTAGTAGGTAGGAGATGGGGGTGCAGCTTGAGGTGGGATGAAGAACAGGTTAGGGAGGCGGGGACGAGCTGGGCTGGTTTTGGGATGCGGTAGGGGGAGGGGAGATTTTGACGCTTGTGAAATCCACACTGATACCATTGGGCTGTAGGGTTCCCAAGCAGAATATGAGTTGCTGTTCCTGCAACCTTTGGGTGGCATCGTTGTGGCACTGCAGGAGGCCCAGGATGGACATGTCATCTGAGGAATGGGAGGGGGAGTTGAAATGGTTCGCGACTGGGAGGTGCAGTTGTTTATTGCGAACCGAGCGTAGGTGTTCTGCAAAGCGGTCCCCAAGCCTCCGCTTGGTTTCCCCAATGTAGAGGAGGCCACAACGGGTACAGCGGATGCAGTATACCACATTAGCAGATGTGCAGGTGAACATCTGCTTGATGTGGAAAGTCTTCTTAAAGTCTTCTTGGGGCATGGGATGGGGGTGAGGGAGGAGGTGTGGGGGCAGGTGTAACACTTCCTGCGGTTGGAGGGAAAAGTGCCAGGTGTGGTGGGACTGGAGGGGAGTGTGGAGTGGACAAGGGAGTCACGGAGAGAGTGGTCCCTCCGGAAAGCAGATAAGGGTGGGGAGGGAAAAATGTCTTTGGTGGTGGGGTCAGATTGCAGATGGCGGAAGTGTTGGAGGATGATGCGTTGGATCCGGACGTTGGTGGGGTGGTACGTGAGGACGAGGGGGATTCTGTTTTGGTTATTATTGCGGGGATGGGGTATGAGGGATGAGTTGCGGGAGACACCAGCTTCAAAATCTCCCCTCCCCCTACCGCATCCCAAAACCAGCCCAGCTCGTCCCCGCCTCCCTAACCTGTTCTTCCTCCCACCTCCAGCCGCACCCCCATCTCCTTTCCTACTAACCTCATCCCGCCTCCTTGACCTGTCCGTCCTCCCTGGACTGACCTATCTCCTCCCCACCTACACGGACCTTTACTGGCTCCATCCCCGCCTCTTTGACCTGTCTGTTTCCTCTCCACCTATCTTCTCCTCTATCCATCTTCTATCCGCCTCCCCCTCTCTCCCTAATAATTTCAGAACCCCCTTCCCCTCCCCCTCCCCCATTTCTGATGAAGGGTCTAGGCCCGAAACGTCAGCCTTCCTGCTCCTACGATGCTGCTTGGCCTGCTGTGTTCATCCAGCTCTGCACCTTGTTGTCTCAGATTCTCCAGCATCTGCAGTTCCTACTATCTCTGCTCTAACAGTGTAGCCATTTGTCTGCTTACCAAGTGTAGCCAAATAGTGTTTAATTTTTATGGATTAGGTTGTGAAGTTAGATGGTAGAAAAACAAAGGAAATCAGAGTTAAAGGTAATCCAAGATAATATGAAGTGATGTGAATTGGTCTGAAATTTTGAGATGTTGCTCTGCAGTTACAGCAAGCAGAAATGTCTTTACTGGGAAGTGTACATCCATTGCTACTTTTGTACTTCTCCTCTCATCCTTGGACAGCAAAGTGAATTTGTATATTGGTAAAATAAAAATGTTAGAGTTCAGTGAATTAATTTTTTTCTGAATCTAAATCTTCATTGGCTCTTCAAATGTATCGTAAATTTAAGTTTTTTTATATTTTCTTGTTTTCTTGTAGATGCTAGTATGGAAAATATTGGTACAGAAGCAATTAATTGGATATATTAAGGAAGGATAGGATTTGCGACTAATATGGAAAAACCTCACTGGTTAAACCTACCTCAGGATATATTGTTGGAAGTATTTAGATATCTAACACCGGTAGGAAAAGCTAACGTTCGTGCAACGTGCAAGTACTTACAACAGTTAATTGATCATCCTACTTTATGGACGAATAGTATAATTGTCCTAAAAAGTTTACAATGCTGTAATTCAGTCTTTTGGAGAACGTTAAGAAAAAGGCGAATAAGATCTGTGGTGATTAAGGAAGCAACACAGAAGCAACAACAGAGGATGGTGAATTTACTACCTGACCTGACAGCTGTTACTATTGATGTAAAAAAGAATTTGGAGAGTTTAAGCACTTTGAAATCACTTGCAAGCTTACAGAAATTACAGCTGAGTAATAAATTACAAGTGCTAGATCAAAAACTGCTAAGAGAAATGGCTTTCTTCAAACATCTGACTCATTTGGTCGTATGCACTTCAGTGTTTATCCAGGATAGTTCGTTGTGCCATCTTGCAGAATTAACAAAATTACAAGCATTGACACTTCATGCCGGACAGAAAAGCCCTTCTTTGACATCGCTTCGTTATGTTTTGTTTCGGTTGCCAAAACTAAAAGAACTGTCACTAAGTTCTGTGGAAAGTTGGGAGAATTTATCATTGTGTTTTACTTCACCAGAAATGACAACTCCTAAACTGACAGGTAAGCAAAAGGATATGGGAAAATAATTGGTCTGGTGATTTTTATAAGAAAATACAAAAATGACAGACAGGGAAAGACTCCGTTACACATCTAGCAAATATCTGATAACTGTTATGGATCAGAATACAGATGCATCTGACCCACCTGGCTGAGACAAAAACCCAAGGAAAAACGGTTAACTTTTCAGGCCCATGACCTAGCATCAGAATTAGAATGTTGGGGATGTAATAGGCTTGAAGCAAGTGAAAGCGGTGTACAGGGGGAGGGTGAGTAAAAGAGCAAATGGGAAATTCTGCAATAAGATGGTAGGCAGGAGAGATTAAATGAGAGAAGTGTCCACAGGGCAAAGGAAGTGATAATAGGATAAGTAAAGAAATGTCTCTAAGAGCCGTGATTGGCAGGATCTTAAACAGTCGCTGCTTCAAAGTGAAAATAACAGGAAAACAAAACCCAAACCAACCAAGATAAACAAACTAGAACAGCTGTTGAAATCTAATATTGTTGAAACAGATATTAAGTCAAGAGGTTGTGAAGTGCTCAGCTGAAGGGTATTCTTGGAACTTGCACAGAGCTTCGTTGAAATACTAAGGGCAGAAAGGTCAGTGAGAACTAGCTGTAAAATTAAAATGGCAATGACTGGAATTTGAGGTTCACACTTTTTCTCAGCTGTATATTTTGAGTCTCCATTTGATCTCCCCTGTAGATACCCCATCCTGAGCAGCAATGCTAAAATCACAAGATGTACTAATAAGTTGTTTCTTTGGAAGGAATATTTGGGCTGTTGCCCAGAAATGCGAGGATCTAAAACAGCAGGTCTTGCATTGTCTACACTTGCATGGAAAAGTGATGTGGAAAGGGAGGGAGTATTTGGGGTAATTGAATTAAACCAGGGTTTTGCAGAGGATACGATGGACCAAAAGGGAAGAAGAAAGGAAGATGTTAGATGGTCTGGCCTGCTGTGTTCCTCCAGCTCCACAGATGTTAGATGGTGGTGTTCGCGTGGATCTAGATAATAGGGATTGAGAGTTTGGAAAGTGCTTTCTGAGGTCCCTTTACGAGTCATCACTGCATTTCATAAATTATACACACTGCTATTGTGCGCTGATGTTACAGTGAATGTTGAAGGTGATGAATGGCATGCCAGTCATGTGGATTGCTTTTGTCCTGGAAGGCATTGAGCTGCTTCAGTGTTGGTGCTGCTTTGTTCGTCAACGCAATGATGTGCTAGTGAAAGTGGGATTAGGAGGATAGGGCGGATGAATGAATGACTGAGGATCTGGTGCAGGGACAGAGATTCACATTTTTGGATGACACCAAAGTTGGTGGTGTAGTGGTCAACGAAGAAGGTTATCTTGGTGTACAATGGGACCTTGATCAAATTGGCCAGTCAGCTGAGGAGTGGCAGATGGAGTTTAATTTAGGTAAACATTTGGTGTTGCATTTTAGTAAGGCAAATCATGGCATAACTTATACAGTCATAGGTAGGACCCTGGGCAGTGTGGCTGAACAAAGAGACATAGGGGTGTAGGTGCATAGTTTCTCGAAAGTGGAATCGTCAGCAGACAGTGTGTTGATGATGATGTTTGGCACGCTTGCCTTCATTGTTCGGTGCATTAAGTATAGGAGTTGAGATGCCATGTTGTGGCTGTATAGGACAATGCTGAGGCTACTTCTAGAATACTGTGTTCAGTTCTGGTCTCCCTGCTTTAGGAAAGATGTTGTTAAACCTGAAAAGGTCAGAAAAGATTTACAAGGATGTTGCCGTGATTAGAGGGTTTGAGCTATAGAGAAAGGCTGAATAGGCTGGGGCTTTTTTCCCCTGTAGCTTCGGAGACGAAGGTGAGGTGGTGGTGACCTTATAGAGGTTTATAAAATCATGATAAAAACCATGGGTAAGGTGAATAGCCAAGGTCTTATTCCCAGGGTAGGTGTGTCCAAAAGTAGAGGGCATAGATTTGAGGTGAGAGTGGAAATATTTAAAAGTGACCTGAGGGACAACTTTTTCACAGAGGGTGGTGCCTGTATAGGACAAGCTGCCAGAGGGAGTGGTGGAGGGGTACAATTAAAATGTTTAAATAGGTACATGAATAGGAAGGGTTTAGAGGGATATGGGCCAAATGTTGACAGATGACACTAGTTTTCAGTTTAGGATGTCTTGGTTGGCATGGATAAGTTGGACCTAAGGGTCTGTTTCCTTGCCTGAATAACTCAATGACACTGTGTAGAGATATTTGTCACACTCATGTCTTGTGTTTTGAGATGGTGGATAGACTTTGAGGAGTGGAGGTCAGTTACACGATTTAGAATTCTGTAATCTGCTTTTCTATCTACAATATTTATACCAATGGTCATTTTTTTTTTAGTTTTGCTAACTCCAGGATGTTAATGATGAGCAATTCAGAGATGGTAGCGACATTGAACATTTAAGGGAGATGGCAAGGTTATCGTTTATTAGAGAGGTTCACTGTCTGGCACTCATACAACATGGATAGCTGCTTGTCAGCTCAAGTCTATAATATATTCTGCTCTTTTCCCTATTAGTTTTTGCATCCTCATCTTTGATGACTTCAGTCTTCTTCACTTTTCTCCTTTCCTGGTGAATGCATTGTGCTGATGTCCTACCAAAACTCTTGCTCCAAATATATTCTTCCATTCATGATTTGTTGCCATACCTTTACCTAATTGTGACCTCTACTTCCACACACTTGTTCATTATTAAGCCCACTTCCAACTACCTTCTACCTATAATTGTCTACAGCTCTTTCTTGCCACTTTCACCTCAACTTCTCCACTGGGAGGAGAAACCTCATTCTCATAAGTTGCTCACAGTTACACTTCCAAGTTCCCAATTACCTAGCCTTTTCTCTCCATTTGCCTCAATTCTTTCTTCTGGTGCCGTTGATTTGCTCATCTGCCATGGACGGAACTGTTCACTGTTTCTCATCCTGCTCATACCATCTAGTACAGGACCTCATATTTGTTACTTCAAATTAAAAGATACAAAGTTAAATGTACTTGTCATGTCTGACAGCATCTGTGGAAAGAAAGCAGATTTAGTATTTCGGATCCAGTGACCCTTCTGCAGAACCCTTTATCCATTCTGGAGAAGGGTCACTGGTCCTGAAATGTTCACTCTGATTTCTCTCCACAGCTGCCGCCAGACCCACTGAATTTTTTCCAACAATTTCTGATTGTTTTTTTGATTTCTAGCAAGCACAGTTCTTCGGATTTTTTAGTATTTTTTACCATGATCAAAGTCACAAATTTATGTTCTATGCCATTGTAATTATGATGCGCTATATATTAGAACAATGAACAGTGGCCCTTCGGCCCACAATGTTATGCTGACCTATTATCTTACTAAGATCAATCTACCCTGCATACCCTACATTTTACGTATCCTTACTGTAGCTTTTGATAAGATCAGCCAAATATTCTTTGTCAAGTTGCTTTTCCATATTCAGTTGTGGAGAACAATCTTTATTTGGTTCCATTCTTCCTTATCAGAACAGCACTAGAGTATCTCTGACAATGGCATCTGACAGCAGGATGTGTCCAATCACAGAAACAATAATTTGTGTCTTAGAGATACCTGTAACTTTTACATCTGTGCCATAACAATGAAATAATACCTTACACATTACATGGTAGTATTCAACTGTGTAACAAAATTTCATCACTGAGTAGATATGAGCGATGCTACGGGAAATTTGTTATTTTGAGTCAATTTGGTAAACTAACTTTGTTAAATTGAAAAAGTAAATAGCCATGAATCAAAAACAATATTTGTGTTTACAGAACGTGACAGTTTTGAGCCACAATACATCTCTCGACTTCAATTAGAGAAGTTGAGCCTTTTGAATAGCATCAATGGTCCACTGTCTGATACAGCACTCCAGCAGTTGTCAAAAGTCTGTAGTTTTTCTGTGAGCCTCAGCAAACCACCTATATCATTGAACAGCAATTTTGTGCACAGCATGTTGGAGAACTTGACAAGCATCACTGAATTGGAACTTAGCTGTGAGTAGATTTTGGAAATAAACTTTACTTGTGTATAGATGTTCCCTTTAAAGCAAGGAATCTGGGAAAACTTAGTGTGTCACTGAATATTTTTTATATTACCTTATGATTCATTTCCTGATGAATGTTGGAATATATTTGTAACAAAACATGTGGATTGTATTCTATTTTTGTCATGTTCACTCCATGTTTGCCACATTTTAAAATTCACTTGCAAAGTTGTTGCTATCTTATTTTTTTTTAATCACAATTCCATTTAAAGGGACTGTCGAGTTCCTGAACTGCTGAACATTTAAGTGTTTCAAAGGAATGCTAGTGCATTTGTTAGTGTTTCAGTCAAACTTTTTTATTAAACCATGTTTCCTCCGATAGATTGCCAGACGAGGTGCCCTGGAAGAAAGAAAGCAGTGTACCTTTTGATTGGCATTGTAATTGTAATTGTGACTGCTACACCTTTAAACACCTATTACAATTTGCATTTATGTAACTGTTTTTAATGAAGGAAGAAGCAGAGGAAGAAATAGATGATGAGTCATAGTATGTGAAGGTTTTAAGGAGAGAATTTTAAAACATGGAATGTAAGCATCTGAAAGAATGTCTGATAGTGCTATGAAAGGGCAGAGGAGGAGCTGTGATTGGTTTGATGGGGGAATACACAAGAAGCTGGCATCAGAGAAAACACATTTGGAGGTGACTTGTAGGCAGCAAGCAGTTAGAGATAAAGAAGTAAGTGAAAGGACGGTAATGACATCATAATATTGAAAAGAAAATATAGAATCTCATGTTAGTAGAAAGTTTTAGTGAAAACATACTATTACTATCAAAAGATGTTGGTGAGGTCATGTTGGGCAGTAACCTGTCGAGATAGATACATATGGTTTGAATAATTCAGTGTCAGCGGTCAGCGTTAAGTTCTGAGATGAGAAATTTCTTTGCATGAAAAATTATAAATCTGTGATTGCTCAGTAATGGAGTATGTTCAAGGCTGAGATTGATAGGATTTTGGACTCTTGAGGGAGCCAAGATACGATACCAAATGGAGGAGTGAAGTTAAGGACAAAGATCAGCAGTGATCTTAAAATGATAGAGTCAACATGAGAGGCCATGAGACTTGATCCTGCATCTATTTCTTAGGTTCTTCTGAGAGAGATGTAATGGAGATGAGCAATACAGCCACATCCTCTTTTACATTCTTCCTTTACTTTCCATAAAACCATTTTTAAAATATATAATATTGTATTTAGTCTAACAGATATAAAGAAAAGTACCTACTCCTTGCCATTCAGTTTGGAGGTTTCTACGAAAGCAATCCAGGTCATGCATCCACGCGAACTCAATTTTTTTCTCTCTTTCTGTCTTCCCTGTCTTTGTGTGGAGACAAAGAACAAAGAAAGTTACAGCGCAGGAACAGGCTCTTCGGCCCTCCAAGCCTGCGCCGATCCAGAACCTCTATCTAAACCTGTCGCCTATTTTCCAAGGATCTGTATCCCTCTGCTCCCTGCCCATTCATGTATTTGTCTAGATACATCTTAAATGACGCTATCGTGCCCGCCTCTACCACCTCCGCTGGCAATGCATTCCAGGCACCCACCACCCTCTGCATTAAGAACTTTCCATGCATATCTCCCTTAAACTTTTCCCCTCTCACCTTGAAATCGTGACCCCGAGTAATTGAGTCCCCCACTCTGGGGGAAAAAGCTGCTTGCTGTCCACCCTGTCTATACCTCTCATGATTTTGTAGACCTCAATCAGGTTCCCCCTCAACCTCCATCTTTCTAATGTAAATAATCCTAATGTACTCAACCTTTCATCATAGCTAGCGCCCTCCATACCAGGCAACATCCTGGAGAACTTCCTCTGCACCCTCTACAAAGCACCCACATCCTTTTGTTAATGTGGCGACCAGAACTGTACGCAGTATTCCAAATGTGTTCGAACCAAAGTCCTATACAACTGCAACATGACCTGCCAACTCTTGTACTGAATACCCCGTCCAATGAATGAAAGCATGCTGTATGCCGTCTTGACCACTCTATCCACGTGCGTTGCCGCCTTCAGGGTACAATGGACCTGAACACCCAGATCTCTCTGTGCATCAATTTTCCCCAGGGCTTTTCCATTTACTGTACAGTTCGCTCTTGAATTGGATCTTCCAAAATGCATCACCTCGCATTTGCCTGGATTGAACTCCATCTGCCATTTCTCTGCCCAACTCTCCAATCTATCTATATTCTGCATTCTCAGACAGTCCCCTTCACTATCTGCTACTCCACCAATTTGTGTCATCTGCAAACTTGCTAATCAGACCGTCTATACCTTCCTCCAGATCATTTACGTATATCACATGTTTCATTCATGTTAGAAATCTTCCTCTCGTGGTAAAATTGGGAATCTGCTCTAAGAAATAAAATCTGCAATTGATAGCTTACTTTCTATCATAAATTTAGAGAAGAAATTTAGAGCACCATGTTGTTGGAAACATTTGACTAAGTTTGCTTGAATCTCTCCTCCAGTTGGAGGATGACAATAAAGCAAAATAACAAAAGCCTAATCATCCTGATATTACAATTGGGGAAGTAGTAGTCAATAGCCTGAAATTAAAAGAGAAAGCAATTTGAAAAGTATTTTGCAAAAGATGCAATCTCTGGAATTTGAAATACAATGAATCCACACTTAAGTATGTGGGTGTGTTCTTGAAAATTACAAAGTGAATTGAATCCGGTTGTCACAGAAATCATTGTTAGAACTGGAGTTAGGTTCCTTCAGACATTCTCTTGCTTGGGAAGGCCAATTGCATACTGAGACCACAGTTGCTATTTGCACTGAAAAAAACTGCCTCTAGTTGAAGCCTCTGACTTCAGGGTGAGTTCAAAACAGAAACCAGAAGAAGCTGAATATTGGATCAATATTAAACATACAGAAGCCCCCAGTGGTGGCTACAGACCTGAAGGACTTTAAAGATGGTGTGGGAGTGAGAGTGGGAGCTAGAGGGAGTGTGAGCGAGGCAGGGGCAAGACTGGGAACCAGACAAGAAGCGAGTCCAGCAATGAGGGCAAGACTAGCAGTGAGAAAATTTGCCTTCGTAGCAATGGAGATCAGGAAATGTAAGAGCAAGAATGGAGAGAAGGATTGGGTGAAGAGGGTCTTCAGGATTAAAGGATAAGGTGGAAGTGCAGGAAAAAGAGCCATAGGCAGATCTTAGAAACTCACATTAAATGTACATATTAACACTACATTATTAATGGCATAAATGCAAGACAACATCGTGTCAGATTTAAGTGGAAACTTGATATACTAAAGCCTGAATTACTTGAAGAGATTACTATTATATCACGTGTTTATAATTTCCCTCTAATCTATGTATTAATCTAAGGTTGCTAGTTGCTTTAGAAAATATAATATTTTTCTTTCAGATGTTTGGAATTATGTTTATGTATTCTATGTTCATTGAACATTCTGTAAAGTTCAGTGCTGAAAATTTGAAATAGCAATGGAAAATGTTGCATGGATCATGTGAAAGAGAAAATAAGTATTTGCATTTATTCAAAACTTTATCACATCTTAGGTTGTTCCAAAGTTTAATATATTCAATATTACGGTTTAATGCACTCACTTTTTCATAGACATTGTTACACAACTTACCAAACAATTTGGTTTTGAGTATGTTGGCCTAGTAATATTATCGCTGGACTGTTAATCCAGAGGCCCAGTTAATGTTCTGGGGACCTGGGTTCAAATCCTGCCATGGCAGATGGTGGAATTTGAATTCAATAAATATCTGAAACTAAGAACCGAATGATGACCATGAATCCATTGTCAATTGTCGGAAAAACCCATCTGGTTCACAAATGTCCTTAAGGGAAGGAAACTGCCATCCTTACCTGGTCTGATCTACTTGTGACTCCAGACCCACAGCAATGTGGTTGACACTTAACTGCCCTCTGGGCAATTAAGGATGGGCAATAAATGCTGCCTAGCCAGCAACACCTCGATCTCATGAATGAATTTAAAAAAAAATGTTGGTTGAGGGGTGAGAGAACATCAGAATAACTCTATCTTTAAATAATGACACAAGATATTTTAGATTCACCCAAGTGAATTAACAGAATTTTGTTTTTAAACTCAAAACACACTGCATTGAAGTGTCAGCTAAAATTATCTCAGCAGTAGAGCGAATAGAGAGGTGGTTTGATGGAGGTGTTCAAAATAGTAAGCAATTTTAAGAGTATTTCAGGAAAAATGTAAAAGGGTGGGTGACTAGAGAATTAAGATTTAAGATGATTGGCAAAAAAAAATTAGAGGTAACGAGAACCTTTTGGCAGCGAATTTTGATCTGAAGTGTGAAGGCTGCTGGAAGCAGATTCAACAGTAATATTCAAGAGTACTGGATAAATATTTAAAGAGAACAAATGTACAGTTCTTTGGGGAAAGGACAGGCTAATGGAATCAATCAAAAAGCTTTACCAAGAGCTGGTAAAGCTTTAATGAGTCACTTAGTCATCTTCTGTGCTGTAACATTTGATTAAATGTTCTGAGGTTCTGGAGTCTTGCATGAAACCAATGTCTTCTAACTAAAAGGTGGGAGTTCTATTAGCAGACAGTGTAGGGGAGGTAATGGTGTTGTGGTAATGTCACTGGGCTATTCATCCAAAAACCCAGAACCCAGATTAATATTCTGGATATGTGGTTTCAAATCCCACCTCAGATTTTGGTAAAATTTAAATTCAATTAATCCAAATTTCTGAAATTGAAAGGTAGTCTTGCTGTGTGCCCAGTATTTTCTTACATATTCAGACTGAAGACTTATGGAATTGTGTGTGTCAACATTCTATGTATCTTTTTTCTTTGGATGCTGATTTTGCAAGATATATATAAGAGAAGCAAAGTTCTGAAGGAAGATTTTTCATCATTTAAATTATGTACCTTATCAGGGACTGGACCTCTTGCTGAGTATGTGAAGATTTTGCCATCAGGTCTTGCAAGCTTGGATTTAATAAGTACAAGACTCTCCAATGTCGATGTGCAGCTTCTGTCCGATTCATCAGGAAAAACTCTTAAACATCTAGGCTTGGTGCTATGCAGCGGTATCACTGAAATAATGCTAAAGCGGTTGCCAAATCAGTTTCCTTTTCTGCAGAGCCTTGACCTTAGGTAAATTATATCGATATAAATACACAAGTATGAATGGAAGATTGTGGATGATTCGCAGCCTTTTGGCTTGGCACACTGAGATGCCCAACTTTGCTGACATTAATTCTATAAAGTTCAAATCTGGGATAATCCTGATCTAATAACTGAACGCTGTGCCAATGTGATGCTTTTACCTGCTAAACCATTAGAAAAATCCTGGCTCAGCATCTATGTTTTTTTAATCAGAATGCTTTTGTCAGCTTGCAGATGTATCTTTTATTGCAGTTGACAAGGCAAGGAGAAATCTATAGATGTCAACTTAAATTTCTGATAATTAGGGTAATTGGTCTTGGCCGTATCAAGATTTCTAGACATTACTGGAGTTTTCTCTTTGCATTGGGTTAGTTAAAGAGTTACAACTACTATTCAGTTAGTTTTAAGCATTAGCTGATGCACCATCAATAATATTTAACTATTGATCACAGGACAAGTAAGGAAACTCAGAAAACCAGCGATAATTTTAAAATATTGCTTTCAAGGAAGATTGCCAAAGTACTGCAGGTTCTTGTGTGACACGTGTGACACAAATGACATTTTAGTTTTCATTCTCTGAATCTTTATCTTTCAGAGGTTTCATGAAGGATTGTTTAGACAAGCAATTATGCCACTTAGAGAAATTTCAAAACTACAAAAATGGCATAATGGAGCAGGAGTTTCATTCTGTGTGCCAAATAAGCACCATATTAGCAGTTTTCTGACTTTACCAGTCCAGCATTACAGACCAGAGGCCCAAACCTTTTTCAGGTGCTAGTCCTATTAATATTTTCACAATGAGCTGCGTGCACTAAACACTTGTTGCTCTGCAGTTCCTCAATTTAGTGAACGCAAATAATGAATGTAGATATTGCTATTAGGCAGGGCCTGTTGACGGATGTGGTTTGATATTCTGCGCTGTATTTCTGCTAGAACTGGACCCAAAAATTTTCCTAATTTAAAAATGGACATGACTTTAAGGAGAGACTTACAATACATTCCTTAATAAATGCCAGTTAGGCCTCTGTGCCTGGATGAAGTGGAATGGCAGCTTTGCCCACTTGACCTTGAAAGTTGCAATTAGGATCCTGAAACTGTCATGGAATCTTAGTAATGCATTTTAGACCATCCTCTGTCTCAGTTTGTTAGGGCTGCTTGATGCCTGTTTAGAGGCCTGCCTGAATGTTGATTTTTGTTTTGACAGTTGGGTGCATAATGTCAACACCAGGGTTTCAACTGTCAGTTACCACATTGCCCCTTAAGAAATGGGCAAATGGCATTTAATGAGTATGTTGCTCGAAAATTTAAATTATCAATCTACATAATTTTATGCTAGAAATTAACTGATTAGTGGTTGTAATTCTGAATGAGTATAAACCAAAATATCAATAATCCTGTAATTCTTTCAAAAAATAAATCCTTAAATTATGTGTAGGTTTAACTTTGAGTTACTGATCAAAAAATCTTGTGTAAATCTTTACAGTCAGCAAATCAAATGTATTGAGATTTTGTTTCAAACATCAATTGAGTATTTAAATATTTGTAGTTGTTCTTCGTTTATATTGCTGTAGTACATACTTTTGAAAGAAAACTGGCTTGGATCTTTTGATTCTTTCTTTTTTGCCAGAAGAAATTGGTTTTGATTGATTGCAGGATTGGAATTTTTTTTTGCAAAATTTGTCCTTTTATTGGTGCTTAATATTCTGGGTGACGCAAGAAACAAAAAAACATCTGGCTCTAGGATTGGGAAAGTATTTGACCATGATGCTCCAGGCATCACGAGTGTGGTCAAGCTGGATGGGCCAGCTGGCTTATCCTTTCTGTTATTAGGAATTGGGAATGAATTTGACTAGTGATGGCATAGAATGGGAATTATCGGAGATAACGAAGTGTGGCGCTGGAGGAACGCAGCAGGCTAGGCAACATCAGAGGACAGGAAAGTTGACGTTTCGGGTCAGGACTCTTCTTCTTAAATTTCCTGCTCCTCTGCTGCCTGGCCTGCTGTGTTCCTCCAGCTCCATGCTTTTTATCTCTGACTCCAGCATCTGCAGTTCTTGCTATCTCTGGGAATTAAGTTTATTTTGGATGTTCTTAACTAACTAGTTGTTTAACCTTGAATAAAGGAAAATCTTTTGAGGTTTTTTTAAAATAGATTTCTGCAAGTTCTTACTAAACTCCATGATTTGTTTCTCTCTTTTCAGTGGGTGTAAATTGTTGAAACCAGACATTTTGGTTGGCTTCGCAGAGCTAGCATTTCTAAAGGAAATCGTAATTTCAAACAATCCACACTTAACTGATGTAACACTGAAGCAATTTCAAACGTTAACTGACAACAGAGTGCACATAACACAGAAGAACAAGAGAAATCATGACAGATGTGATTGTTATTTTAGCTTTGGTATGTGAGTGGATGAAGCAAAATGTTTTGTGCATGATAAAGATTATAAGGTTGACTGAGAGCTGAAGAAGTGTGTTGATGTTTCAGATGGACTGGATTGACAACTTTCGTGTTAAATGTCTGGTGGATGGAAATCCATGAAGAGAAATGACACGTTTGTTGATATGTGCATGCATAGCATTTGAGTTTAAAATTGGCAATTGTCATAATAACAAGTCATTTATAGTTTAATATTATTGAATAAATTGGTTAGTTATGTTTGTTTATTATTCTATATTACACGTGTATGACCATCAGAGGGATCTCCTACTCAAGATATAAATCATTGTGATTTTAATCCCCTGAAGAACTACAGATTTTAATATATCTTTCGTTATAAAGACACATTCTCAGGTTTCCCAAATTGTTTTCTTTCTTTACCAGGGAATATTTGTTTGTCACAAGTAGGATTGATAAAGTTAAATGGAGAATTTTAGCAAAACATTCAGACCCATTTTAAAAAAGATAATGATATTCTTCTGAAAGAGACCTGTTTCTATTGAATGCAAGATGACCATAAATTGGACAATGGGAATTTTATTGTATGATAATTTTAATAGCTGCAAAGTGCAATGCGATAGGATAGTCATAAAGTCATACGGCATGGAAACACATCCTTCGGTCCACACACCAACCATGTTCCCAAACTAACTAGTCCTACCTCCCTGTGCTTGGCCGATATCCCCCTAAACCTTTCCTATTCATGAACTTAACCAAATGTTTTTTAAATGTTGTAACTGTGATGCTAATGTTTATTGTCTCACACTGAGCTAATGGCAAATTGATGTAGTATTAATGTCTAAGAGGGTGTCTTAAACTTTATTTTAATATCACTAGGTACCCAGATAACGTTCTGGGGATCTGGGTTCGAATCCCACCACAGCAGCTGGTGGAATTTGAATTCAATAAATATCTGGAATTAATAATCTAATGATGACCATGAATCCATCGTCAATTGTTGGGAAAAGCCCATCTCGTTCACAAATGTCCTTAAGGGAAGAAACTGCCATCCTTACTTGGTGTGGCATATATATGACTCCAGACTCAACAATGTGGTTGACTCTTAACTGCCATCTGGGCACTTTGGGATGGGCAATAAAAACTACCTACCTAGTGATGCCCTCATTCTGTGAATGAATAAAAAAAATTGGCAAGTTGAGTGTACAGGAAAGTCAATTAATAAATAGACATAAAGATATTTTTAATGAGACAGTAGTTTGAAGAGAGCATCTGACTAGCTGCAGTTCCAAAGTGTGTTAGGTAATAGGCTGTTACACAATCACTATTCAGGTTTTTAAGATTTTAGCCATTCATTGCCTTTGCGGATAATGTGTAGATGTCAGACCCTGGGTTTAAATGGACAGTCCATAACAGTGCCATCTTGTGTGGTATCTGCAGTGAGATATATGGCAGAGGATTAAGACTCTGATTGTGATGTAACTTCAACTTTTTCCAGTATAATCATTGCAATTTAGGCACTATGTTATTGACGAGGGCAAATAGTAGCGAGAGTCCCTGGTTTATGCTCAGGAAAATTTTCTAGATGCTTCCAATCCATTGAAAAATGAGGCGCTGCTGTCCTGGTTTTGGGAAAGAGGTAAGTCTAGTGGATAAGTCAGCCCTTACACTAAACAAGCATTGCCCATGACCTAGAATGACGATTACTTTCCACCAATATAATATCAAAGAATAAAGTATCACAAGGAATCCGAGGATAACAAGAAACATCAGTGCATTTCCAGTGCCAAAATATGCAAATGATGTATAGTGCTTTTCAAGCATAGGAAATCAGGTGGGAAGTCAAGCCCCTAACTTAGCCAGTCTTATTCAACTCATAAGAGCTATTTTAAAAAAAAGACCAGAAATGGTGTTGGACTCAGGACCAGAAAGGCCTTGGCAAAGACCAGCAATAGATTTATTCAGCAGTAAAGGGAAGATGCAATTAGTCCTAGTCAACTATTATTCAAGATGGATTGAAGTGGCTAGACTTTATTTGACTACAGCAAACTCCATGATCTGAGCACTAAACAGGATCTTTGTGATATAGAAATTCCCAGAAGAATTAGTAACAGAGAATGGACCTCAGTTCACAAACAAGCATTTCAGGAAGTTCATTTTGGAGGCAAGTTCTACACTCTATCCTCAATTGACTGGAAAGAGCAATCAAGACTATAAAGTTGCTAATGCATAAGAATCCAAAATTGGAAGAAATTCTACTCAGCACCATTGAATAATTGGTACATGTCAGCAGAATTGTAAGTGGGTTAAAATCAAACATAACCTTTCAAGAACACGAGTAGGTAAAATAACTAGAGAAAATCCACAGCAAAAAGCAGCAGAGGTGGTATATCTCTGGACACAGGGTGAAAACTCTGTCAGCCTTAATATTAGAGCAGAAAGTCTAGTTAAGGGATAAGAAGTCAGAAACCATGGCAGTCAGACAAACTTGTCAATGAAGATCTTATACTGCAAGAATGCCTGAAGGGATATTCAGGGACAACAGGAAGTCATTGATGTTGTGCAAGCCAAGAAGTGAGACTGAGTATGATTATTAAAGAATTTGGGACAGCCAAACCTATGCCATCAGAAAGCGTGCAGAAAGGTACAATTCCAGACATGTTACAACATCACCCTTGTATTGAATAGAATGGACCACATCAGGGCATCCAATCACAGTTCTAGATTGCCTTAGCCTGTTAAATTCAGACTCTGATGTGGGAGGGAAGGATTGATAGTAATAACAGTGACAATGATAATGATGTTATTAATGACATTAATGATCAACAAACTATGTTCATAAAAGCAAATTACTGGGATAATGTAGGTCAAATAGGGAAAAACTTTGAGGGAAGATGTGGTGTAATAAAATTCGTATACAATATAACTGCTTGCCACCAGTCAGAGAGAACTCATCAGAATAGAGTGAGAATGTTAAGAGACAGGTCTTGAACAATATTCTACAAACTGCATTTACTGTCTTGCAGTGTGCAGGCACAAATGAAATGGTTGTGCAGCATATCAGAAGTGGAAGAATCTAACTTCGAGGTAAAGAGCCAGTAGTCTTAAGGACAATGTATGTGCAGCTGTCCACAGCCCAGAGATACATCAGACCTGTATTGCAATGTGCAGGTAGAATTATTAGTTTAAAGCACAATATTAAGCAGTTACAATAACATAAGATTTCTAGTTACTGATGACATCAAGAGATGAGGTGATAGTGCAAGAACATAGTGTTTTGGTTAATGATCAGCCATGATTGATATAGAATGGCAGAGATGGTTCAACATGTAAAATGCTCCTGCTTCTATGTTTCTACAAAGAACTAATTCAATCCTGTGTAGAGCTGGACAAACACAGCAGGCCAAGCAGCATCAGAGGAGCAGGAAGGCTGACGTTTCGGGCCTAGACCCTTCTTTCTGAAGGGTCTTCCTGCTCCCCTGATGCTGCTTGGCCTGCTGTGTTCATCCAGCTCTATACCTTGTTATCTCAGATTCTCCAGCATGTGCAGTTCCTGCTATCTCTAATTCAGTCCTTTCCAGTTTTGAAGACTAAATGATGTGTGGGAGTAAGGAAGGATAGCAATGGACTTAATGCACTTAGAAAGCCTTGCTATTATTGTTCGCTGTTCCACTTAAATGTAAGCTACATGCTTTCAAAGATAACTTACTACTTTTGCAATTATAGGTTTTTTATTTGAAGTGCTTTGTTTTGACCTCACTGAGCTTGCAGTTTGTTATCATTGTGGCTGCTGAGTGACTTTTCTCATGTGGTTGCATATCACGTGGTAGAAGAGAAGATACTTTACATTTTTATAACATTAGACCAGGGCTGGTTGAAAACAGGCAACAGGAAGGGAAAATTTTTACAGGGAATTTTATGGTATTCTATTTTCCAAATGAGTAACACTGACACACACGTGATACCGTTTCAACGTTCCTATATTCCAGATTTTACTTTTTCCTACCAATAAAATATATTTAGAAATAAGCTCAATAATTTTCTTGGTAACCTTAATATAAATAAAGGGATAAGTAAAAATAAATGTTTTAATAATTTTTGTGGTTAATGATAATGTATATATCATTTCCATATGTATTTTTAATAAAAATCATGTTTGTTCAGTCAAAAAAGCTGTGCAATAATCGGTTAGATGCTGTTACATTCAATATAAAAATTAAATTTAACAACTGCTTTAAATAATCAAAAATCAATGTGAAGCAGTGAGGTTGAATATTTTCAATTCTGGTCACTCTTGGATGCTGATTTCTCATTCTATGACCGTGTTGACCTGAACATCAGATACAACAGCATTCACACAGAGGCAGACGCAAAACAGGAACTGTTAAACTAATGATGCATCTGTTTTAACTTAGATTTTGGTTGCTACAGGGCTAACCAGTCTCCATGGATATGTGTAAATCTCACTGGTTTTCACTGGTAAAGTTATTGATTGAGAGTCAATTTGCTGAATGTGCTGGAGATTTCATTGTTTCCTAGCCATTTCTTTTTAAAATCAATTTGCAAGAGTTGGCAGAAATTCTTGGACATATCCTTTGAGGTAATTCAAATGTTTGAAACTTGTGCTGAAATGTTTCATAGTATAGCCCCAGAAGAAATCATTAATTCACTTATTTCTATTCTCTAGCCATAACAGTTTACACTTTCACCACTTCCACGTGCAGTTGCTTCCTGAACAACATGCAATTTCATTCAACATTAAAATTATAAGCCCAGCTTGTGTTTCAAATTCTTCCTTGCTATTCACAATGTCTCCTCTAACTGGTATAATGCTTATCATCCACATTTGTTGGCGCCCATTTGTATCTCTGTGTCAGATTTCCTAAACTTCTCAATAGCAAACTTCCCAGGTTTTCTTTGGTGCTCAGTTCTCTTTCACATAGCTGCATCCAGAGCATAACCAGTAGAGTGGCACAAAGCCACTTCACCCTTATGTCATTCATAACAGTGCTTTTGTACTCAACAAGGGAATCCATATGAACACAGTTTTGGAAAAAAAACTATTAAGTAGTACTTAAAATTCAGAGTTGTTTCTCTTCCAGATCTAAATCCAGCTGGAAATACAAATTCCAAATTCAAATGTAGCACTTATTTTGTCTTTACAGCCTTAATTCTTCAGGAAGCTTTCTATTAGAAAAAAATTGCTTTCTTTTGTACCGCTGTCACAGTCTGCTCCATTTCTTTCAGTGATGTACTCGATCCAGTTTCCCAG